TTAACCCCCATTGGGGGGGGGGGGGGTTAGTTTAGGTTCTTACTCAAGGGTTAAAACACTTGAATGAGTCACTTAACTAACCCCCCGAAGGGCAGTTAGTTTAGCATGTTACTTAAGATTTCAAAACGCAACCAACACCCCATTGTTTTAACCATCAATTCGGGGTGGTCAGTTTAGTTTCTTACAAAAGGTTGGTTGCGCCCTGCTCTTTATTTATTTTTATTTGTAGTGTTCTGTCTGACGACAGGTCCATATGAACAGGATCCTTCCATCCTTTTCTCGGACTGGGACCTGCTCATACATATATACATTCTTGGCAGAGATGATCAGAAGTGGTTTGCCATTGCCTTCTTCTGTGTGTGAGTGGAGTAATTGTTGGGATGCCACGGAGGAAAACTCCGTGATACCTAGACCACGGCCTTGCCCAACACAAGTTATAAATTTGAGCACCACCGGGAATTGAACCCGGGACCCCAGGCTTACAAGGCTAGTGTTCTGACCGCTAGACCACCGTGGTGCTTGTAGTCATGTGACGAGACATGTAGATACAGGGATTAGTTGGTTTCCTTGTTGTTCGCTTCTGGGCCAACCTCCTTAGTGGCCATTTTTGTTCCGTCGTGATTATTTTATTGGCGGACGAGGTGGGGTCTCTCAGTTCCCAGTCGAGTGCACTGCAGCTTGTCCCAGTCGTTACAGACATCAGTCAATATCAGTGCATTTGCTTTCAGAAGGGAACGGTAAACCAATCACACACGCGCAGTGCTCAGTTGGAAAGTGAGAAAATGAGTGAAAAACTGTGCGGATGTGTTTATTCTTTTTTTCTTTTTTTTACAGTATCGATTGTCGTACATGTCTGGTTCACCCCACAAAGTAGTTCCGCGACACCTGTGTGTGCTTTTTAATCAACTGCGTCGCCATCTTAGAATGAATAAACGAACTAGCAGCGCTTTTGTAGTATAACCTCAATTGTCAGCTTCATAGAAATTTGTCATGATTGTGAGCCAGTTTAATCCGCCTTCAATCCTAACATTTTGCCTTACGAAGATCTGTCTTAATGTTATGTCTTCTCTTTCTTGGTCGTTTAATAAAACGTTTTAGAAGAACGTCTCCCATCAAAGTTTTATATGCATTCGTCTGTTTTTTTCAAAGTACGTTGCTGTTGGGATTTTTCGTCTGAAATCAAAAACTATGATACAAGTCCGCATTTAAAAAGGGAGATGCCCCTTCGAACACGCCCTATTTTCCTTGCGAGAGAAAACTTGATGAGATGGCAAGCATCTTGACAAGATATTTGAAATTCTCACAGCGGTGAAGCTGATGATGATGTTGTTCTGAATTGTGTACTCGTAGATGGATACCAACGTTTCGGCAAAAACATACTAACTCCATCTCTAGCCCTGTAAAGCTATAATTATTCGTGAAACATCATTCTCAAACTTTTTTGACGTCCGTAATGAGTATCGATTAGCCCTGCAAACATCCGAGCGATAATCGATTTTGCCCCAAGTACGTAAATCTCGACTTTTCTCTATGTAGACTTTCCTTTACACAACTTAACGTGAGAAAGTCTGGCCTTGTTTGCGGGGTAGTGACGCCATGAGACTTAAAATGCATAATAATATATATACTTAAACGTCGTGCTGTGAAATGGTTATTAAATTCCGATAGATCACTGATAAAAGTTATGTACGCCGTCACTTGTGTTTGTGTGAAGACCTTTTGCCTTGATATGGTAAGTAATAAAATGTTGTTGGCTATTATCTTGAATATATCAAGTGTGCGTGGACACGACCTCAGTTGCTAAGTTGTGCTATGGCAAATTTCTTGGTGTATTGCGTGTCGAGTGGAGTTTTATGTTCTACAGAATCATATTGTTATTGTTTTGGTGTATTTGCTTGGACATTGCTAAAGGACGTAAGCGAGATAATTGAGGCACCAAGGTAAACTTCTACCAGACTACGCATCGCAACAACCCAGAAGACAGCCAACTTCGTTCTCAAGGTCGTGAGAATCTCAAATCCTACTTACCTTCTGTAGTGTTGTATATTTTTTTTAACTTTTATGAATCAGTCGATGTATAGTCGGAGGACAGTATCGTGTTGTGCTGTTTAGGATTTGTTACTTTGATCGGAACAAGACCAGAATTTATCTCAAAGCTATTTGTTGCTACTTTTAAGGTCGTTTAACGAAATGTTTCCGTATTTTCTGTAACCTCACTGGCTTACTCCAACCCGGATTCTGTTAACGCTGGTTCCCATTTACCTGTGTGTCTGATGGAAGCCCATCCATTAGCCTGTAATTATTAGCCTGTATGTTCACGAATGTATTCGTGCGGAAGCCATTCCTTTGTTTCCATTCCGTGGCCTGTAACATGATATGCAGTGTCGATGAACCAAATGAAACGAACAGTGTAACGAACTACCAGAATCTAAATGTTATCCGATATGTAAAGAAGCCCTACTTGACTTTTCTATTATAAAGGCGACTCGCGGTAAAAATGCATGGTTTTAGTTCGTTTCCCATTTAAGGCAAGAATGCTCGAAAAACACGTATTTCTGTGACTAATTACTTGGTTACTTACTTCAGGTGTTATCTTTTAATATAACGCGAAGACAGTGGATGATAAATAAGAGGTTATACGTTTATAACATTTATATTTCTGTTTTATAGAACTCTGTAATGCAACTTCTGTTGTCATTAGTCGTGTTTGTTTGTTTTATTTGATTTGTGTATTTTTCGTGTCCTGAAAATACTGTATAATGTATTTTAATTATAGTTTATTTGGAGGGATTCGCTTGGCTTTCACGTTGTTAATTTCCGTGCGGTTTCTGACGTAAATTCGTGTATTGTCTTGTCACGTTCCTCTTTTATCTATGAGTTTTCCCCAGCCGCGTGCCTGTTACTCATTCCATAATGCTGATTTATGTACGTATGATGACAATTAATTATTCTGTTAAAACAGCCTCACTGACCTCTTTACGTTTAAGTTTAATTTGAGCTGGTCAAATTTCCCTCCTTTTATGGAAACAAAAGGTTAGTAGTGTTTACAAAAGCCCGCCACTGGACCATATCTTGAGCCAGTTAAATCCAATTCACGCCGTCACACACTATTTCTTTAAGATTAAGTCTTCTTATAATTTTTGTTTGTAACTGAAATCTTTCTTCTGAAGCTGGCTCTGAACGATAAATTAGAAATAAGAGACCGTGGTCTATTTTAAGGTGATGTAGAATATTTCTATAGTGACTGTCCTCGTCGGAAAATTAAATACGTGATTTAATTGTGATTGTTTTAGGATATTTAAGTCAAAACTCTGTCATCGAACTTAAGTTTGATTTTCTTAACAAGCCCTTGATGATAACAAGGCTGTGTGACGCATAGAAAGCCAGCGACGGAAACTAATATCCGTTTGTGATTGTTTTAGGATATTTAAGTCAGAACTCTGTCATCGAACTTAAATTTGATTTTCTTAACAAGTCCTTGATGATAACAAGACTGTGTGACGCATAGAAAGCCAACGACGGAAACTAATATCTGCGGATTACAGAATCTTTGTTAGCGAAGTCTCATAATCCTAGACAAGACCGGAAAAAACGTGCCAATATTTCTCGACGCTAGAAGACACGTTTAGCTTACTAATAGTGCGAGATTACGCTGATAGGCAGTGTATTCGTAGCGGCGTTCAATACGTGATGTGCTGATCTTGCATTATAAACGACGCTCAAGTGGCACAGGATGTCCAAAATACTTCGTCAATGAACTCTTCTCATCTGGTTATCCCTTTAAAGACGAAGAATAAATCTTCTCACTGTGTACTGTATTCTCTTACTTTATATTATCGACCTACAGTGCATCATGTTCTTTTTCAGTGCTACGCTTCGTGTATAAGCACTTGTTTTTCTTTTACGGATGTCACAGTTCTCAGTTCTGCCGCTAGTCTGCGCCACCCGTTGTCCCTGACCATGAATACGTAATGTGGTTGTTGTATTTGTCTTCCTTTGTTGTAGACTACTGTGAATATCAAAATTCAGTTGTTTTCTGTTTGTCTTTTATCTTGTAGTCGGGATGAAAATAACAGACTGAATCAACTGAAGTTAAAATAATTAAAACTGGAAGAACTCTGCCTAATTAACTCCGTGAAGAAGATACCTTCTTGAGAAGTGGCTAATCTCTGCAGTGATTAAGAGATTTCCCACTCTTTATTCTGCACCATTTTAATCCAATCCAAATCATCTTACTTTAAGGGGTTTCAGGCCAAAATTCTTAAGCATTTCTCGTGTTTCGAGTGAGGTTCGAAGAGCCTATTAAATCGGAGTAAACTTTCATCTGGTTTTATATACTTGCTGTTGTGTTGCATTTTAAATGGTACACCGTGTTCATAGAGACTTTATGGGTATTCTGTGGACTACTCTACTTGAGTTTGTGCCAGCCAGTCACGTACAAAAGCAAATTATTTCACCCGTTCCCATGTATACGTACTGACTGGTGTGCCGTAGTCATGGTAACCGCAAACAAAGACGAAATCCTCGCCGACTGCTTTTCAATTTTCAGAACTCTTATGAGGTTGCTAATTAATTGTCTTACCTTATCTCACAGCAGTTTTTTTATACGGAATTCTCATCCGTAAACATCTGTGATAAAATTACATTTTCCTTTGGTCTGTGATATGTAGTTATATTCAAATATTGTTCGTTGTAATGGTACAGGTTTATTAAAATAGCAAAGTGTAGGTGAACTGTGATATTTTGGTCAAACTTTCCAGTCTTCGCTTTTGTTTATGTCATCACAAGAATTTTCTAACATCGTAATTATACCATTAGTTCGCCTGGTTTTAATTTTCTAAGAGCCGTTGCGTGACTGAATTCGTTAATGTCTCTGTGAAATTAATTTCTCGCTTTCTGGAAATGTTCGTTATTGCTTGTACGTTGCATTCGCTGATAAAACTGAACTCAACTGCCACCTCCCGGCAGAAACTGCTATAAAATAGGCAAGTTGATTCTATTGTTCTTACGTCGTGGCCATCCCATCTATGATGTGAAATGTGAACTAACTGTTGCAAGTTGCGACTCGGAGTATCACCTTCACAAATCATCTTCGGGTTGATTTGTGTTCAGAATTTATTTCCCTTTCGAGAGGGAAATTTGTTTTATTTCTATTGGCAATTGCTACTGAGCTGCGACTTAAGATGTAACACAACATAGTAAATACAGAATAATTACCTCATTATTGAACTTGGGAAGAGCATTCCCCAGAAGATCAGGCTCGTATTTTATCAATCACTTCAAATTTAATTAAACGTGTCTAAGGCCTGCTTCCAAAGAGGAACAAAACGAAAATGGATTCAGGTTATGTGGTTGAGGATCCATTGAAGAATAAAGTATGGATTTATTACATATGGGCATTGTATCTTATTCCATTCAGCTACTGACAACTGCAGCAGTGTCAATATGATGTTATACATCTTAAACTAACAAAGTTACCGAACAAATAACAGCTTCGCTTTGCGAACTAGAAACAGTTGTTTCAAAATATACGCTACAAAATAGGAGTTTCAAACAGTTTGTAAGAGTTAAAATTTTGAAATGTAATACTGATTGTTATATATGATATCAAAGCACGTATGATTTGTATCATTATGTCTAAGAACATAAGTAAAGCAACAAGATAGTAAAATCAGAAACAATGGTAATTGTATATTTTGGCATTCTTACCATAATTATACACCAAATACATACCTATATTTATCAATGTATCTAATATGAAAAAAAGTAATTCTGTGATAGGTACAATTTTAAAAAAACAATGTCAGTATCTATAATCATTGTGGATAAATATTAATATGTATTTGTTCATAAAACCCTTAGTTTCTTCAGAAATCTAATTAGAATAGCTGTAAAGGAAGGATTTCAAAGAGGAGGCACAGAGATTTTCTTCAATCTCCAGAGCTCTGTGTAATTTATTGCCCTTATCTCGTATTCAGTTACGTGGTACTGTATGTTCCAAAAACAAAAAGGAAACAGAAATTGCAGACATAAGGATAAAGAATGAAAAACCCGGATGAAAATAAGAAGATTAAAAGAACAAGATAAAATAGACTTTTAAGAATAAAACCATAAAATCAATAATTTTAAATCCACTTTAATGTTTATTTAATTAAGGTTTTAGCATCTACAGATGGCTGTAGCAGATATCTTCATGAAATGTTTTAATTTTGGAAACCGTGCGTTACGATAGTCGTTACATGGCGATGTGTTCTTTGCGTACAGTGAGAGACCAAGTGTTACACCCATCAAACATTTAGTTAAATTATGTATTTTAATCTTAATACTTCTTAGATTTGAGAGGGGAAGGCAAAGGATTCTGAACTGAATGATAGCAAACAGTTCCCAAATTTAATCTGCTCTTAGTCTCTAAATGAATGTAAAATTTCTTTCTTCTCTAAATACGTTACGAAGTTCAACAATATGATCTAAGAATTTGAAATGTTACTGTTGTCAGCCATACTTTATAAGACGTATTTTGAGTGTGGCACGTGGTCTTTCTCCGATAAGCGTGGGCTATGTCTCCAGAGATTTAGTTAGAAGGTCCTCCCCTTACAGCTTCACAACATTGGAGAGATAACCTGCTCAGTTGAAGACAGGCATATTAGTGAAGATAGCAAATATGCTAAAATTGTACAAAAATTTGAGTTTCACCATTTGTTCTTAAACACTGAAAACTTTAACCTATCTATATGGAAATATATTAGAATTGATAATTTATATTCAGTTCACATCGTACAATCCAGCAAGTGAATTGATAACATGATCCCTATTCTGCGTAAGCCAGAGAATCTGTTTTACGCCTAGACATTTCAGTGTATAATGTTTAGTAATTATATAGTAGTTCAAATAATCATGACAAACAGATTTCTCTGAAGGAGTAACATCACTGTTCCTTTGGTACTGTATTTTACCTCTGTTTCTCAACTTATCAGACAGTATAGGGGTCACACCTGTCATTCTTTTCCAAAATACACTCTTCACACGCACTCTGTCGACTGCAGTTCCATTCTGAACAGAAACGAGCAGAGCATACTTGTGCTTTTCAGGAAAAATACATTCGCTATCTAGTATTAATAACATGTCACAAACTTTCTTACTTTTCTGTACAATTCCTAATCCTATTAGCACCAAATCACTGCACACACTAAAAGTGTATCACACATCTGCCTCAGCAAATTTTAGTTTTAATTCTCAAAATCGGGGAAGACAAAAATTCCTGGATACAAAATTTTGAATAAAAGTGAAAAGAGTTGAGGGTTCGTGCTGGTTCTGTCGCTGTGTATTTTGGTCCTCAAATTTGGTTTTCAACAAAATGACGTTTCATATTGTGCCTAAACTTATATCTTTTCATCACGATAAATTGACATTGCTTTAAATATCTACCAGAATTGTGGGATTTGAGGTTTTCACAATGGTGAGTTTGAAGATGGCTGTCTTCTGGGTTGTTGTGCCGTGTAGTCTTGTAGAAGTTTACCTACGTTTCAGAGGTCCTTGCTGCCTCCATCATCAGGGCGATTCATCTGAAACGTTGGTAAACTTCTATCTGCCAGAATTGTTAACAGGGTGAACACAAACAGTATATACTGTTTCCAGAAACAACCAACCTCTAGTCATTGCCCGTATGAGTAAATTGAGAAGGCAGTTATGTAATGTACAGAATTACAATCTTGTTTTGATTTATATTTAGCACAGCATAAAACGCAGTTCATTTCTCTTACTGATCAAATAGGATGACCACATTTTGTATTTCATGTTTAATCCTAAATGTTTAGTTTTCTCTTTATTGGAGAATAACATTTTCATACCAACTGGAATTTTTAAATAGCCAAGCTGAACTTAACCAAGGGTCAGTGTAGGTACGTAAAATTCTTCGCTAACTAATTAATGTTTCGTATGAAGACACAACGTCAAAATAGTCGAGTACAATGAATTATTGTTGGGTTGAAACAGAATATAAGTTTCCTTTGAAAATTAGCAAAATAATTATTTTTCCTTAATTTTTGATTGCACTTTATAATATTTATAAATAAAACATAAATTTATAGTTAATTTTGTCTGGTTGGCTAAAATTATATCTCGTTGCGCAGATTGATTGAAATAAGACAGAACCCACCCTAATATTTGTTATGAATTTTAATGAATTATCAGTTAGTCAGAAACTTTCTTTTTGTAAATGTCTTCATAAATGTACTCTTGCACTTTTTAACAGTAAATTTTTAAAATTAAAATCTAATTAACAACAAATTATCACAGAATTTCTGTTACTAAATGTCATTAACATTTCATTTCATTTCTTCATTCTGTTTTTTAAAACCGTGTTGATATTTTCCATATTCTTCATCCCATTTTGATACTAGATAAATATGGTCACCCCAACCTCTAAGCATGGGTAATATTAGCTCTTTTATTGCTTATTTTGACTTCAAGATTTGTTTTGGGCTGAGGAACTCTTAACTTTGTAATACTGTTGTGTTGATGATACCTCTCGTCACAGAGTTGTGTGTGGTGTGGTGAGAATATGACTTTTTAAATTTCGTGTTTTACACCGGGTATTTTGGGTTTTTTTTACGTAAGTGTTTAGAAAAATAATCAAAATTAAAAATGTTTCCATTCATGGTGCGGCAAGACATGTATGCATAAAGCATATAGACATATATAAATCCAGCACTCATTAGCAGGCATTTCCAGACTTCGTCCATTAAAACTGAAAATCCCTCGTATCCAGAGAAAATCTGACAATACCAGATACTGTCCATTAAATCAAGGGTTTACTCTACAGTAATGCTGTCTGTAACAAAACAAAATTTGATGGATTGTGACGAATATATTTTCACATTTATTTTCTTCAATTTCCTTCAATTTCAAGTTCTGTAACGTAAGTTGGTATTCTGTAGGATTTGTTTGGTTGTGACCGCACTGTTGCCGTCTACAGACGCTGATCTCACATCCCCACAACTCAATAAGTTAGGCTGACATCAACTTTGGCACATTTTCTGGTAACACCTTCAACGATGTCAACTTCTTATGACTGATACGTCAGCACTGAAGGTTCTGGCAACATTTTCGTATTCTGACGTGCAAGTAAAACGTTATAGTAGAAAGTTAATTACGTAAAAAATTAAACTTCTATTCTAATGAACTGGGATCAGTGCCTCTAATAAGTTTCACAGAAATTTACTACAATTGTATTTGTCTCTCCAACAAAGAACATAATTTCAGATCGCGTTTCTGTGTCGGAGAAATTATCAGATTCAACATTATAAAATGTATTTCTTGTAAGAAGAAAAAAGTATTGTATATAAATATATTAATGTAATATTACTTAAACATAGTCTTCATTAAAAGGAGGTGAGCGAGTATATATCTCAGTGGTAAAAACGATTGGCTTCAGTCTGGATGACGGGTTTAATTCTGAACAGAGGCAGGAACCACTAAGCCTAAACCAGTTCTGAAACTCACTCAGCCTTCTATACACTATGTACTATAGCGTTGTTTCTGTAGGGGCGAAGTGGTCGGAGCATGAAGCTGATCACTGACGTCCATCTAACGTGTAGGTTAAGAATACGTGTCTTTGTTGGATTTGAGGTGAGGTCTTCTGGGTTGTAGTGTCATGTAATCCTTGCAGCAAGGACCACTTAAACGCTGGTAAACTTCTACCATACTACGTGGCGCTACAACCCAGAAGACAGCCATATTCATATGTTTCTATGTCTCCTCTCACCGATATGTCATCATTGTGTGATGATTAATTAAGAATGGGGATTAAAATTAAAGCAGTTATCGAAATTCAAATTATTCAGGAATGTGAAGAGAGCCATTTTCTATTTAATTTAAATATTTAGTTTTTGAAGCACAGAAAGTGACACCATTTTAATTGAATTATTGAAGCTAGGTGAAGTCGCATGTATTGTATGCGTAATGTCAGAGCTTGAGTCCAGGCCTGGAAGAACTGTGGCAGTAAGAAACATCTGCTTCAGTGGAGAGCAGAAGAGAAATTGTCAAAAGCCGTCTATTGCGTGAGGAATGAGTTGTTCTTGGTGAGGAGCCCTGCACTGCTCTCAGACATGGGGATCACAGCTGCCTTCTGCCCCTGTGGTATCTTCCCCCTTGAAATGATGTTCGGCTTAAGACCCTTCAGCAAATTCTGTGAATCAAACATGGAGTTTCGTGTATTCCGAGTATTAAGCTTCTATTTACGTATATTTCTCAATCTTCCTGTTAGATTGGAATATTTTCCTTAGAACTTTGTTTTCTAACATCGTCAATACTTTAACCAAAGCAGCAGTTGACTGTTCTGTTCGTTAACACGTTAGTTTTGTATTTTAATAAATTAAAATTCTAAAATTAAGCAGTAAATTAAACCAGTTTGTGAAATAGCAATTGGCAGTATCTTGATGTTGAGAACAAAACTAAAAACTAAAATACTTCTTTGATACTTGGAACAGTGATTAGAGAGAATTTACTCACCTCTTTGACCGTTCCTGGTGTGGCTAATACATAATAGATGGCATAGGCAGGGATCCAGATCATGGATGCAAAACTCATGCAGAATCCAAGCCCCTCGGCCCATTGTGGATACTTATACGATTTGCCGTACGTTACTGGTTTGTAATCGACACAGTAGAAGATGAAAATTGCCTGAAAGACAAGAGTTTGATCTTGTGTACAGTATTTACAAAACTAATCTTGTTCGTAGTAATATCAAAAGTAACGAACTCCGCACTTCTTGAGTAGCTGATGATCTCTCGGTTGGTCAAGCAATTCTCAACCTTGTATAGAACTCAAAGCTTCATTGCCATGTTTACAAGTGCCCACCACTAGTTCCTGTTTTGAGCCGGCTGAATCCATTCCATAGCTTTACATCTTATTTCTCTGTTATCCATTATAAATTCTCCCATCCGTATCAGTGGACTGTTTCCTACATGTTTATGTTATTAATGTTATCCATACAGTAGAAACTTACCACCATTACAGCAGGGGCAAAGAAGACCCAACAAATGTACCAGAACCTGTTGGGTCGTATACCCATCATTTGCTGAACGCAGTCTATAAATTTCTGTGCCCCGAATATCCAAGAAATGGCGATAGTTTGGAAGAAACAGACCCACAGTAGGGACATTCCACTGGCTGAGTAGAAGTCCATCAGTTGGAAGATGTACGCTCCACCCTGAAAAAAGAGAAGGCAGTAACTACAAAATACAAAACAAAATACAGTCACTGGAAGATACAGGCACACACAGTCTTCAAACAAAACGTAACATGATTGAAAGATATACGTTCTGCCGAGGAAGAGAACATATAATGTCTGTTAGAAATACTGGACCCTAACACTAAAATTCTGTAAGCATTCCTTGTGTCTGTCATGTATCCTCTTTATCATGTTCATGACATTCACCCTAATTTTATAAAATTAAGAAATGTAACAAGTTAACTCTGGCTGCACTTACATGGGTTACCATCGGAATTCCCAGCACCATCATGACGACACACATGCCAAATGTGAATTTCTTCCGGTGAGGGCGTAGTACTTCTGGCCAGTTGTCTACCATTCCAGTGACGAATGATTCTACGATGCAGAATTCACTGTCTATTCCCAGAATCTGTAAATAGGGCAGATCGATGTGCATTACGATAGTGTAGACGTAGAATAGGTATTGACTAACAAACAGCAACCAAACGTGAAGCTCTTATTCTTTATCCCTTCCGGTTTCTTACGATTGCCATTTAACTTCCCAGAAAATTCGTCTTCTAGACTTTTTGTAGGACTCGTTGAATGGAGGATTCTCCCATCAGCAGATGCACGCATAACGTAGTAATTCTGTCAACTTCGCTGTAATTTGCCCTTTTGACAATTCCAAATGTCATCTGTGTGATGAGGACATCAGTGACCTTTGCATAGACGGGATATTTGGTGCCCACTTGGTTGGGTGATGTCATCACGAAGAATTCTCCCATGTGGTTATATGTGAGGGAATTATTTTTGAGAATGGAACTGTCCCATGATCTTATCCAGAGACAAGCTTCGATATTAATTTCGCTGGACCAGATTGTTTAAGATGACTGTCTTTTGGGATGTTACGCCATGTAAGGTTCTTAAGACGCTGTAACCAAGAAGACAGCCATCTTTGTGTTGTTCTTACCACTAGCATGAAGAAGAAGATGGCTGCCCACGCTGGGGCACCAGGAAGCTTAAGAACCACCTCGGGATAGGTGAGGAAGACGAGTCCGGGCCCACTCTTCACCACGTCAGACACCTCGGCCCCCTGCTCCAGGGCGATGTGGCCCAGGATGGAGAAAGTGACACAGCCAGCCAGCAGGCAGGTCAGCGTGTTTACTACACAAGTGATGAGGGCGTCTCTGTGTGCACACAACAAACTTAATTATAAGCCCACGTCCCTTGTCTTGAATGCGTGGAGAATGTGACAGTTCTAGGGCGAATGAATTTAACTTTTAACCTTTGCGAAAGGCGCTACCCGGAACATGAAGATGACTGTCTTCTGGTTTGTTGCGCCGTGTAGTCTGGTAGTTCATCGACGTCAGAGCGATGCCCTATTGATGGACGCAGCAAGTACCTCTGAAACGTCGGTAAACTTCTACCAGACTGCACTGCACAACCACCCTTTATAATCGTCTCCGTGAGAACCTGAAATTTCACAATTTAAGAAGTTTTCAGGAATGACGCTAGACTACAAAATGTTCTGTGCAGGAGCCCAAAGAGAGATTTTTAGTCGGAGTCGTTGGTTTTACAGAGTTTCGATACGATATGGTTTGGAATAGTTTTAGTGGCGTACGTTCTGTGTAGTGGATATCCGATTTCAAGGGACACGTGCGATAATAATTTTTAAAAATTAAAATGGACAATGTGATGTAATGGTAGACTACAATGATGGGTATTGTAACAAGAAAGGGTGGAAATTGGCAAGAAATGTAGAAGAAGGGGATAAGATAGGACAGGGATAAATGAAGAAGGAAGAAAGAGGGTGAAGAATTTAGGTGCAAGATAAATAATTCCCCATTGAATTACAAAGGGATTTTTACTGGTACATATTATAAAACGTAGAAATTGGCAACATGATGAAATTATACGTAAAGTGGTTAGTTAACGCAAGGAAGAGGCTCTGTTTCGCTGTTTTATTAAGCCGAGTCTTACTTGTAGCAGTTGTGGTGGAACTTGTTGTAAGAACCCAGGGCGGGCAGCGCGCCAGTACCAATGCTGTAGGCGAAAAAGATCTGCGTGGCACCGTCTATCCAGGGACCCGGCCCTAGGAGCTCCTCCCAGCGTGGTGTTACGTAGTACAGCAGACCCTGGTCAGCGCCGTTCAGCGTCACGGCGCGAACCAGTAACACGAGAAGCACCGCGTAGGGAAACAGCGCCGTGAACCAGATGATCTGCAGGTACAAGCTTGTAGTCGGTCATCTCGTAAAGAAATCGCCAGTTTTATTGCCGTGTTTACAAGAGCCTGACCTGGTTCTTATCCTTAGTCTGTTGAATGTAGTCCACGGCCTATTTCATTAATATGCTTATTAATAATAATTATTAATTAAATTATTAATAAATAATAGAATTGAATTGAATATCCGTTCATTCTGTTTACACATTGGTGTCTTAAGTTGCTTCTTTCTGTCTGCTTTTTCGATTATATTTCTCTATGGACTTCTCATTTCCATGCTACATTCCCTACTTATCCTCCATCATCCTAATAGTATCTGGTGAATAATAGGTCCTCGAACTTGAATGCTGTCCATTATACAATATTTCGAAAAATTCGTAAAGGTATTTTCCAAAATAAATTTACGAATATGTTGAAACAAACGTTTTTAAGAAAATGTTTCAAAAGAAGGGCACATCCTTCCCTACCTTTCCACTGGCGTGCAGGCCTCGCCAGATGATGAGGTAGACCAACCCCCATCCAAGCGCCAGGCACCCCAACAGCTCCCACTGCATACCCCCGAGGTCATCTATCCCATCCGTGACTTGTAGCACCCTTTTCCTGCAAAGAATGTGATTTGAACATGTTTTGAACTATTTTCCTTACCTGTTCAAATGTTAAGCTAACTGAGACTGAACGTCATTTGGTGATAGGTTTTCGTAAGGCTGGACAATAACGAAATCACCTCAGTAACAAGAGTTTTCTGGAAGTGAACTCCTGCCTATTATCATAGTTGACTCGGCTGTAGTGTTTAGATGATCACTAGTTAAACTAACATATAATAAAGGTTTTGTTAGCTATGGATTTAACTTTAAACTTGTTGACATATTCCGATGCAGAATAAAAAATTAAATTTACCAATTTGAAGTAGTTTTACTGTGTATTCGAATAAATCCAGTCTAATAGAATGGATAAATCAACTGCCGTCTGTTCCCAATAACTAACTGCGTGGAACAGTTCTTAAAAAGCCCCTACTGACACTTTGTCTGTTGAGAAATTCGAATTTTCATTGCCGCGTTAACAATAGTCCAGCACTTGGCCCCTTCTTGAGTCACATCAATTTACTCCACTCTCTCAAAAAGTATAAGTTATTTTTAATAATTACCCTCACATGCATTCTTAATATTTCCCGAGTAAAATTTTGTATGAATTTATTTTTCACTCGCATGCTACATAACCTGCCTCTCTCACCCTGGCGATTACATTTGGTGAACAGAACAGATTATGAAGCTGCTCATACAAAATGTTCTTCATTCTGCTACTCTTAGGATCACTTACGAATACATCTAAAATATTATAAATAGTTTTTTTTTTAATTTATATCTTAATTGCGTCATGTTTGTGTTTTATTGATACAATATTTTTATTTTCCGTCTATACACAAACTTAAAATAATGTTGTTTAAAATTACTTAAAATTATAACATTCTCAGTAGACACTGCATCTTGTTACATTTTTTGTATCGACGACATGTTTCAATGTGTATCACATCATCATCAGGTCTATCAATTTTAATATATTTTAAAAACTGTAGTACATTTTGCGTTGCGTTTATTGATTATTTTAATTTATTTAATTTTAAGTTGTTTTTTTTTAAGTTTTTCTGCAGTTTACCGTCTCTTAATATCGGACACACAACACATCAATTACAACCCGATATAAACATCCAAGTACAACCTCCAAACCAAAAGGAAGAGACAAAAAAACTTAAAATTAAATAAATTAAAATAATCAATAAACGCAACGCAAAATGTACTACAGTTTTTAAAATATATTAAAATTGATAGACCTGATGATGATGTGATACACATTGAAACATGTCGTCGATACAAAAAATGTAACAAGATGCAGTGTCTACTGAGAATGTTATAATTTTAGATAATTTTAAACAACATTATTTTAAGTTTGTGTATAGACGGAAAATAAAAATATTGTATCAATAGTTAATTTGCTTGTTAATAATTTGTTGACATTCTAAGGAATGTAGTATTTCTGAGGAGTTGTGAGGTTAGAATGTGGCTGTCTTCTGGGATGATGATGGAGGCTGCTAACTAAGAAACGTTGCTCAGTATCTACCAGACTACACGGTGCAACATCCCAGAAGACAGCCTGTTGCTTCGCCATTAGAACCTCAGATTTCAAGTGTGTGGTTTCATTAATTCCTGTCCGCAGTCTCTACGTATGAAAGACGCTGCCTTACTCCCAGTATTCCTCCACTGGAGTTGTGGTGTGGTTTGTGTAGGTGTGCACAGCGGACGCATTCATGCCGCTGGTGTAGCAGTTGGGGGTGTTCCACCAATTATCTGCAACCAGAGAAAATACAACCCTGTTTACGCAGCCCGCAAGACATGCTAGAGGTCTGCACCGGATTGGTAGCACAGATAATAATGTTCGGGGTCTGTGCCTGGTTGGAATTATAGAAAATGATAAGAAAAATGAAAACAAAAAATAATTAAAAATCAGTAATTCAGTTAAAAAGTTTATAACATAACACCTGATGACGGCTCGTTGATAGCCGAAACATGTCGTAAATGTTCCATATGTAAATCGAGTACTCGATACGGAACGAAAAATGATATTTTAATCTTTTAATTATCTTATATTGTGATTGACGGCCAATTTTAATATATTTTTAATACTATTTAAATAAATCACAATATGACGCACCTACAATATCTTATAAATCTCACTTATTTCATTTTTTCGGGGATTTTCGTAGCTGCCCTGTCCAAAAACAGTTCGATATAACACCTTACAAAATTTGCATTCGGTATCTTTGTACAGTTCCTCAGACGTCAAAATAAGCTCAGGTGTTTTTAGAATGTCGTGAAATAATTCATTCAAAGATTATACGCATGTATGCATTAAAATATCACGTATTAATGGAACGATACTTAGAGAAGATTTTGAATAGATTGGGCTTCATTTGGGCTTGAATAAGAGGAATTCGGGATTCTCAAAGATAATGATAAGAAATTAGTCTTATGATATTTGGTGCCTAAAGGCTTAAGTTTGTGACTTACCGCATGTTTTCCAGGGAAGTCCTGGCAATCTGACGAAAGTAGCGATCAGATAAAATATAGTCCATGCAATGATGATACAGTAGTAGATATCCAGGAAGAACACAATTGTCATTGTGGCATATCCAACACCTGCAAAACAAGGAAAGTCTCGCTTTACTAATGCCTGAAACTATAACGAACTGCATGTAGCAAAGTCCTGTAGATTGTGATCATCGCTCAGCCATGTTAGTCTCTGAAGTCCAGATATTCCACTCATCACTTCGTTCTCATGTCCAGATCAGTAGAGAATTCAAGGGGGAGTGACCATTACATTTGAAGAAAATTACTACAGTTCAGGTCTTGGAATTTATTCCTACGTGTAACGTTGTTTGTAACAATAGCCACGGCGTCTTAAAGGCGCTGTAAGTGCTTTTGTTGAAAGAAAGCGCTCTGGGTCGAAGAAGATGGCGTTTGCCCGCAACCATTTCAAGCTTCAATTGCTACCTCGATAAATATCATTCATTATTATTTGGTCTATTGAAATCTGTCCCCTGCCTCAATAGTCCCCTTAAGGCTTCGACCGGGATGTTCTTTTGTTAAATCTTATGTGGTACCGCCTGATTCGACTTCTAATGGTTAAGTGAAGTGTTTTCTTCGCGGTACGGTCTGGATTCGTAAATAATATTCAGACGAACTTCGGCTTCAAAGGGTTAACCAGCTGATTTTCTTAATGGTGAGGTGTAGTGTTTTCTTCGCGGTACGGACTGAATTCATAAATAATATTCAGACGATCTTCGGCTTCAAAGGGTTAATCTTACCCTTGAATGCAGATGATCTCGAGAAATGGCTTAGTGTGGTAATTTTTCCTGTGACTGTACACGCATTCAAAAGTCTGTGCTGTGCTGTACTATCCGAGAAGATAATTCAAAACTGTCATCATATTTCTTTGAATGTCTTCAGGTGGTTCAAAATGTGGCCCTTTTCCATTGAGATTATTTGTTTGTGCAACATTAAAAAGTCAGATGGTGGCAAATCAGGAAGTATTTATATGTCAGATGTTACTTTTTTTAAATTGTGCGATGTGGGACAACGCGTGGTCATGATTCAATATCGTCGTATCCAGTCAAATAGTTTGTTTCGGCGAATTCGCTGTAGCGAATGTTATAAAGTTTGAATGTAGACTCACCTTGAAGTATAGGGCACAACTGACCCACTAAGGTCATGCCACCAGCGCCTAAGTACTGCCCTACTGCCACTTCTTGAAAGAAGATTGGAATCCCACAGAATATCATGGCGATGCCGTATGTCACTAGAAACGCCCCTGAAACACAGACAACATAGCAGTACAGCTGACTTTCCGTTCTTCTCCTAGAAGTTTATTAAAATAATCTACTGAAATGATGATAAATCTACTGCGTGTATATGAGACTAATCCTTTGCAAGTAGGATATTTTTATTTAGTGTTCTGTCTGACGACAGGTCCATATGAACAGGATCCTTCCATCCTTTTCTCGGACAGGGACCTGTTCATATACGTTTTTGGCAGATGATCCAGAAGTGGTTTGGCATTGCCTTCTTCTGTGTGTGAATGGGGTAATTGTTGGGATGCCACGGAGAAACCGGGGAAGCCCCCGTAGGAAAACTCCGTGTTGCCTAGACCACGGCCTTGCCCAACACAAGTTATAAATTCGGGCACCGCCGGGAATCTAACCCGAGACCCCAGGATTACAAGGCCAGTGTTCTAACCGCTAGACCACCTCATCTTAATATTATTTAGTGTTCTGTCTGACGCCAGGTCCATATGAACAGGATCCTTCCATCCTTTTCTCGGACTGGGACCTGTTCATATACGTTCTTGGCAGATGATCCAGAAGTGGTTTGCCATTGCCTTCTTCTGTGTGTGAATGGAGTAATTGTTGGAAGCCCCCGGAGGAAAACTCCGTGTTGCCTAGACCACGGCCTTGCCCAACACAAGTTATAAATTCGGACTATATTTAATATAATTTATATATAATGCAAATAATCCAGCAGGGTACTTTAATATGTAAGCTGACACAAAGTCACTGCACTGCAAGCAACAGACACTTAATTATCGTTATTTATTAAATTCAGGTTCAAAAAACGAAAATGCATTACATCACACGTCATTCACATTATTTACCGCAATGGAATAACATGGTGATAAGAATTGTAAATACCAAATCACTTTATGCATTAAAACGTGTGTGGTAGCCTAGTGACGATACAACTGTGGGCATAGATATTTTTGTGCTTTAAATCTATGGCATCCTAGCAACCACTAGGCAGAAGTAAGTAAGTAAAATGGAGAAGACGCGTGTTTTATTCTTCATATAGGTTTGTGATACACGAGGCGTAACACGAAAATGTTTACAATTCCATTTTTAGTTGTTCGTTGTAACACCAGACACAAAGTAATTTAAATAATACAAACAGAGATACTACA